AGCCCCGCTCCCGCCGCCCACGCGCGCCCGGCAGACGGCCCAGCCCACAGCCAGGCAAGCCCGAGCCACGGACGGCGAGACCAGGCAGAGCCCTGGAGACCGGCAGGCGATGGCAGGGAGCAGAGCGCTCGGTGGTACCGGGGCACCGCTGCCCAGGACACCCGTCTCTGGCTGCTGCCACTGAGGGACGATCCGTCACACGTGGGGACCTGGCACCCCGTGCCCCGCTGTCCCAGGGGATGGTGCCATAGCAGGCCGTGTGCTGAGGAGGTGAGGGGACAGCCACGGGCAGCGGTGCGGGCAGGGCTCACCACCTCAGCCACCCCGGGGCCAGTGGCCCCCAGCCCTGGTGGCTCAGGGCCGGTGCGTGGGGCCAGATCCGGTGCCAGGCACCCGGGAGCTACTGAGGATTCCCGGGGCTGCTCCCGTTCCACCCACAGCCCCTCAGCCCGGCCGCGCTGGCAGGACGCTCACCGCACACACACCCCCCCAGCCCGTGCATGCACCTGGATATAGTCCACGGAGTCTCCAAGCGCCCGGAAGGCCGTGTACATCACCTCCCGCTTCCCGCCCCACTTCTGGAGGATGCAGGAGTAGGTGTTGCTGCGGACCAGCGCCTGAACACGGGCCAGCCCTTCCCGCAGCCCGGCCTCCGTCTCCCCCTCGCCCTGCGCGTGGAAGTTGCTCCTCCAGATGTAGCTGCCGGAGCGCTCGGAGCCCATCACCTCGTGGAAGATGTCCAGCATGTAGGTGTCGTCGGGGCCATTCCCGTCCACCACCATCACCACTTTGAGGTCAGGGAAGGCGATGCGCTTGACGGAGCGTAGGCACTTCGTCAGGTAGTCGGGGTCCTCCTGGAAGGCGGCGATGCAGAGGGCCACCGAGCGCCCCGGCCGCACCGGCTGCCCCTCGCCCCGCATCCGCCGGTGCTCCAGGAAGGCGAAGAGGCTCTGGATGAAGAGGTGCAGCCCCAGGATGGCCCCGTAGAGCCCGAAGGAGAGGTAGTGCTTCTCCGTGTGGATGAACTGGTACCCTGTGACGTAGGCGGCCAGGATTCCCCCCAGCACCGCCACGGCGAAGAGGCTGGTCCCCACGACACGCAGGGCCGTGGAGAGGCTCCCTGGCATCTGGGAGGACACGGGGCACCGTCAGGGCAGGAGGACATCCTCCCCATCGTGTCATCAAGAACGCAAAAGGGGGGTGGCCCTGCTCCTCTGCTGCCCCACGGCCACCCTGTGCCGCGCCGGTCACTGGTTTGGGGGTGACACCTTCCCAGCGCCTCCACGGAGCCAGAGGAGGTGCGGGGATCCCACACACCCCACCGTGCGTGGTGCGAGGTGTAGGGGTCCCAAGTACCCCACCGCGTACGGTGCCAGCACCCCCCATCCACCCAAGCAGGAACACGGCTGCTCGCAGGCAGGGCTGGAGGACAGGGAAGGGCACGGGGATGTCAGGGAGCAAGGTGTCCCCGGGGGAATCACGGCCGCCCGGAGCCCTCCTCCACCCCGAGCGGGTGCGGCGGGACCCCCGGCTGCGGGGATGGCAGCAGCCAGACCCCCGCCCCGCTGCGGGATGGGACGAGCGGCGCGGGCAGGACGGGACTGCGGAGCCGCACCGGGAGCGCGGGCAGGGGGTG